ACCTTTCATTCCCAGGGATGGGTATGAGATCCTGACCTGCATAATCAGAATATTCCATTCTGGTACAGCACCAGCCAGGTGATCAGAGCAGGAGGCAGCCCTCGCAGTTTTGGATAACTGTTGGGAAAGGGGAGCTCTTTTACTTTTTGGTTGCAAAGATGAAAAATTTTGCTACAGTGTGGCAAATCCACCTGAGAATGAAGCAAATATGGAGGAAAGCAGAACCAAGATGGGGAAAGAGAAACAGATGCCGAGAAGAACTGTTGATTCTCTGGACCCAGCGGTAGCTGAAGCTAGTACAGCAGTAACGAGGCTTGCTGGTGGCATAGACTCCTAGGAGTCAAAAAATTCTCTTTTTAGTTTAAAGTAGTTTACATTGGGTTTCCAGTTAACACCATTTTGTTCTTTTTAGGAAAGCTGATGATGAAGATTTTGACTGCATTTCCCTGAGGTCAACACGCTCCATCAGGAATCCAGTTTTCATATCTCCAATTATTCCATTGAATTTAATTTCTACTTGCGAAAATATGAAAATGTCTCCCTTCTGCATTTGGATGAGCATCACTAACATACTTTCAGATGATTTGGTAAGTGGCATTGGGTTGGATTTCCTCAATTTGGTTTACCAGCCTATACATAAAATCTGACTAATGGAAATATGTACACTATGAGCTATGGACTGTGTTTGAGTCCCAAAATTTATATTAGATGACTTCATTCAAGCTCTTTGACCTTGGATAAATCATTAATCTTTTTGGGCCTCCAGTTTCCTAAATGTGGACATTAAGCAAAGGATGTCAATAATAAGTCTCAATGTCTATATAGTTATTCCACCATTTCTAAATTGATTTTTCATTATATTATATTATTATACAGCATCATTACAATTTCTTTCAGCTATGGTTATCAATAGTTCACCACATAATTTCCTTGCCTAGAAATGTCAGCTGGCAATTCTTCTCTACGTAAAGGCTAGTTTTCCACGGTCAGTCTGCTCCCTCATCTGTCCATCCGCTTCTCACCTATTCATCCGCTCATTTATCTGAAAAGTGCGGCCATAGATCCCATGAAGCTGACTGTGGCTACATTTAAAAAACAAGAAATCAGCTTGTATTCATAGCTCAAGGAAATGTTGTAGGCATTGCACCTACTGAAATGCAGGTTGGATAGAGCCAAAAATAGCTATCCTACATCAAGAGTTAATGCAGGGAAACTGATGAAGTGTTTCCTTGGCAATTGAGTTACTTAAAGGTAAAAGAACTTGGTTTGATCAAAGACTAGTTCTCTGCTTCTTGTCCTCTATGTGGTTTTGTGATTGTAACTCAGGGAAAAATGGTTGACAAATCCAGTTCACTGAAAAACCCAAAATATCAAGAAAAGAGCAATCCAATTGAATCCCATAAGGCAAAGATATAAGTGAAGCGTGTTTAGCCTCCACGTGCCCTTGAATGCCTGTGCACACCTTTGAGCTACTTACATTCTAAACTGCTTCCTGTGGATCCCTTGAGCTATAGATCATTTGGGACAACCTCCCGAATTTATAGGAATCTGACATCTGTCAATCTGAATGTGAAGCCTTGCCTTTCAAACTGAAGTCAGTTCCTTCCAGAGAAGGAAAAAGGACAATAGCTGCTATTTCTTAGCATGCATACTCAAGGCTGCAAGGGTTGCTAGGCAACAGCAGAAGGCTGTCAGACTTGCCTGGGTGCCTCCAGTGAAAGAGGAGCAACCCTGGCAGCCACTCCACAGAGGGGAGGGGCTGCACTGTCCTGGGAGCCATTCAGTGGACTGTATTCCTTACAATACCCATTCACTGTGTTCAGGGACGAACCACAGACTTTTTCTTCCCAGGCTCATTTAGCCTTAAAATGCACTTCAGTTGGCCAGAGCCCCCCAAAATGCGCACATCAGGCCGGAGAGATGCGGCTCTGGGAGAGGTCTGTAGGTTATTCTGATCCAGTTCACCCTGGAGCTCATGGAGGACCCAACTTGTCTCTTACGTGGAGGCTGAAGCCTCTGAACTACAAACAATTGAAACTGCCTCTCTGAGGCTAGATGTCACTGCAGCTAAGGCAAGCACAACCGCTGTATCCAACAGATGTTCACGGTGCAGGTCACTGAGAGGAGACTTCTTCCCCGCCATGGTGTGGATTTCTAATCTGCAGGCCCTCTGAGCTTCCTATTTGAGATAGCTGTTTCCTTCAAATTGAAACAAAGAGGAGGCCCAGAGAGAGAAGCCAAGATCTGATAAAAAATTAAATCACTGTTTTCTTTTCCTTTTTTAAAATTTTGACTTTCTAAAATATTCTTATTAGTATGTTTTAATAGATAATAATTAACTCATTTGGGGGATTTGCTACACATGCGTGTCACATCTAGGTCATTTTGATTCCCCATTCTCCCCTCTCTCCTTGCCTAGACCCTATTCCCATCTTCACAGAGTGTACTTCCCTGTGTTCCCTCATCTCTTTAATTTTTCTTTTTAAATTTTTACATTTTGGATTCCTCGAATAGAAAACCATGCAAAATACAACCTTCTTTGTCTGATTTGTTTCACTTAGTTATGGTCTCAAGATCCATCCATTTTCTTACAAATGACTCAAATTTGTCATCTTTATGGTTGAATAGTACTCCATTGTGTGTAGAGACCACATTTTATTTACCCATTCATTTGTTGAGGGGTATTTAGGCCACTTCCACAGCACTATTGGTTAAAGAGCAAACATTCATCACAAGTCACCGTGAATAATTTGCCGAAATGTATTTGGCAAAGCCAGGAAGCGTGTGAAGGATAGGTCCTGGGTCGAGTTCAAGATGCAGTTAGGGCTGCAACTGGGATTTATACCAGGGAGGGGCCTCACTGACAGTGACGATGAGACATATGCCCAAACAAAAGCAACCTGTGGACAGGAAAGTGGCCTTTCCTAAGGCCAGCTCAGGTATCGTGGGCTAAAAGCTGCTGTGGCTGGCTAACCCCTCATTGTTAATACAATCCTTGAAGTCCTGTTGTAGCAAATGTCCACAAGGAAATGGAACACATAAGTTGAGAAGGCCCTGGACTTAGCTATGCATGGCTTCTCTTCACGGGCACTGCAGGAAGTACAGAGCCGTAGGCACAGAACACTAAGATGAAAGTTTTGACCACTAAGAACCTTGTTGGGGCTACCTTTGTGGTCTCTCAGATATTCCTACACTATCATCCAGGATTCCCCAGTCTCCCTAATGTCACACTCACGGTTGCCCTTGCAACACTGAAATGAATTAAAAGTTTCAAGGCTTGACTCAGACTACCGGAGGGTTTAGAAGTAGTGCAAACAGTGGGCAAAGCATAGATGTAAAGACTTTGGTTCCTTGTCTATAACACGTGGTTAGGCTAGGATTACACGTTCCCTACAATTCTTCTAGCTCTAACATTTGATCAGTCTGCAGATTTGCAAAAATGAAAACACGTTTGGCCACATTTATCAGTGAGACAGAGAGAGAGAGAAGGAAGAAAACAAAGGCTGAAGATATAACATTGCCAAATGTTCTGAGCACATTGTGCTAAAAAAGGATGACAACAATTTTTGAGTAAAAGAAAGAAAAGAAGAAGCAACGGCAATAGCAGGAAATGTGCCAACACCACTGCACGACTTCTGCTTTGACCTCTTCTGCCCCATCTGAACACACATCTGGCTAGGATCTTGTTTCCTCTCCTCCCATCTCCAGCTCCCCACCCAGTTCCTATCTTGTAGAGATGATGCTCACTTGTTAGATCCCTCACCCCTAGAAAGGTCTATCTTTTTTTTTCATTGAAAAGTTTAGCTTGTAGGAGGCTCCTCTGAGAGTTCAGGACTGTCGTGCCACCCTGGACAGTTTCTTTCAATGACAAGGAAAGAAGAACAGTTTTTCTCTTTGGATGAACTTTAATATAACCATTAGGTCTTTAGGATGGTATATTCAAGAATAATTTTATTTTTCTACTTAGATGTCCATATATAACATTGCTTATACTGAAATATTTTAATGCTAAATAAAGAAAAAGAATATATACTTGATTTTTTAAAAATGAAAAATTTCCTCAGTTATAACTAGTAAATAAATGTTATTCATATAAATGTTTCTTATTTTGGAAAAAATATAGCACAATAAAAAAAACAATGTTATGCCAAGAGATTAAATGTTTGCATTAGATCTTTCCACATCTATTTGGTGCTTAATTCCTTCTATAAATGCATGTTTCTTTTAAGTGTTTGACATATAAACCTAATATTTTGGTGAGTTATAAAAATATTGATGATGCATACGTTAAGGATCTACTAAAGTCTTTTGTGTTATTTTGTTAATCCTTGTGTTTTAGAAATCTGTCCCTTTCAGTACTAATGTTTTCTTACTGAAGAATAGGTCCCCTTTTTAAGTTTTGGGGACTATGATGGACTTTCTTCTTGCTGCTCAGTGGAATCCGCAGAAGCTGTCATCCACTTCTTAATGAAATCATGCAGTCATGCCTGTATTTTATCCAACTTTGCAGTGTTGGAAACATTTGGGAGAGACAAGCTCTGGGACAAGCTGCAGGACAAGAGCAGAACTTGGCAGAACAGAGACTGAGTGGGAAGTGTCACTAGCAGTCCTACCTTTGAGAGTCTCAAAGCCTACAACCCTGCCAAGCACGTCACAGAACCAGACAATCTGAGGGGTAAGTGCTGGTCTCTGAAACTTAACTGGTTGGTTTCTGTTTGACCCACTGATGTATCTGGAATTTTGTTAGCACAGACTTGGAAGAGTAGCTCAGAGCTTTTCACAGCCTGTGGGCTTGTTGGTTGCCCCGAGGAGAGCCCATGGTACTTGAATGTACTCCAAATATCCCTCCGCCTGCCCATTCAAGTAAGGGAATTTGAACACATCCACCATAGTAGGCATAATTTACTACTGAATTGGCCACTAAAATATAATACAAAAAGGTAAAATTTCCACAGAGTAGTGTGACCATAGTTTAGTCACATTCTTGGATGTTCTCTTACCTTCACTGCCACCAAGATCTTATCCTGCTCGGGACAGAGGTTATAGCATTCAGCTAGGAAAACTTTTCCAAAGGCTCCTTCGCCTAGCTCCCTTTTCAGAACAATGTTATGTCGCTTGATGTGCTGAACAACTGTAAAAGAAAGACAGAATCGAGATTGGAATTGAAGCACGTTGAGAGGAAGGCTAAGGGTGGAGAGTCCATGGTCTAACTCTGGACTTGCAGGCCCAGCATTCTCTGCACAGAGCGAGGCAGAGGAGAGGCACACTGTCCATCTCACAGTCTGTGACTCTCAGGGGCTGGCAGGAGGTTTCATCGGCTTATTCTCCAGAATTCAGCTACTGTTCGTGATAAAATTAAAGACCTAGCTGTTGGCTCCAAAATATCATTAATAAACTTTCAATAAGAAAAAGGAGATATGAGGACGGAATTAATAGTAATGACAAGTCCCTTATGAGGCAGACACGGTGCATGTATGTCAGTCATGTGTCCAGTGGGAAAGGCATACCCATTCCTCATCAACCATTTCACACAGCCAAGGAGACAGACTCATAGCATACCAAGGGGAAATGCAAGAATCGTGCGTTGCTAGTTAAGGCACAGGCCTCCTCCCTATTTGAACCTTCTAATGAGATGGGGCAGACCATGGCTGAGCCTCAGTGACTTCTTTTGCTTAGATAAGAAATGTCTAGACTCTGTACTAACCGCTAGTTTCCTTAGCTCCACTCTAAGATCATGCCCTGGTTTTGGCTCTCCAAAGCCAAGAAGATATAAGAATAGGTGAATTTGAAGAACAAAGACCCTTTCCCCCTACTGTCGGGCAAGCAGAACTGGTCAAAGTCATTCATCCATATGCCTTTTAAGAGACCAAGACAAGAGGCAATCAAGGGTTTTAGAGCTTACTAGCTGCAAACTGGAAACCAGAGAAAAACAACACAGAAGGACAGAGCTACTAGAGTAACCCAAAAGGAGACTGTAAGAAAAAAATTGCAGCACAAGTTTGTACCTCACTGCTTAGAGCTGCAGATGCTGAGTCTTAGCATGGGAGTTCCCCTGGGCTAAGCCCGCATTCTTTTCTGATCCACTTGGCCATGAATAGTAGTGTAGCTGGCCTTCCATATCTGCCAGTTCCATATCGTAGATTAAACCAACTTTGGATAGAAGACATTTAGGTCCCACCACCACCAAGCACACAAACACACAACAAAATTTTTTTAAAAATTACTTTTATACTGAATGCATAGACCATTTTTACTTGTCATTATTCCCTAAATACTATAACAATCGTTTACAACCAATAATATAACAACCATTTACATAGGATTTACATTATATTAGTTATCATAGGTAATTTAGGAATGATTTAAAGACTAGAGAAGGATTGTGTAGATTATATAAAAATGCTATAGCACTTTACATAAGGTGCAGGAGCTCCTTGGTCTTTGTATCACACGGGACCCTGGAGCCAGTCTCCCACAGATACCAGGGAAGGCTGCATTACAGAGAGGTCGTGCTCCACCTACAGCACGGAATGTGGAGCCAACAGTATGTTTTCCTGTCATTTTTACAACCCTATGGAATCCTCCTGTCTTTAGGGAAACAGACTATAGAAATTTCAAGGATCCAGTGTGTGAATGGCTGGAATTTGAACCTAAGTCTGTCTGAATTCAGAATCTGTGTATTTTCTTCTATATCACATTATCCTTTCAATTATAAATTGTGTTGCACATGATGAAAAAGTTGATGTACATAAGACATAAAGAACAAAATAAGAATATTCACACCAGGGAAACTATTTGGTATTTACACATGTGTGACTTATTTATTTCACTTAGGAGTATATCTTCAATATGTATCCATTTTCCTATGAATGAATCTATTCTCTCGCTCTTTATGGCTGAGTAATATTCCATTTTAAGATTCTAATAAGATTACTGACATTTAGAAATTTGAAGAAAGGAGCTAAAGGTGTAGGGAAGGTGTGATGCATAGGGGAAGAACAAAAAGGGAAAAGAAAAAAATGTGAGAGAATGAAAAGATGAAAATAAAGTGTTTGTAGATGGGGTGGGGAGGAGGGGGTGAAGGGAGGGCAGAGGTAAGGGGAAAAAATGAGAATCAAGACTTGCCATATAGAGGTACATGATCCCAACAATGAATGTAACTGTACTGTATCCCTAAAATGTACCAATAAACTCAATAAAATTTTAAAAAAAGAACAAAATAAGAATATCTTCTTCCTTCCTCTACTTAGTTAACCCTTCAAAGGCCAATTTAAGTTCTTACTCCAAGAGAGGGGTTTCCAAGACCACTGTGATGACCAAAGACCTTCTTTTCTGAACTCTTAGCATAGCTCATGCCTTTAGCTTAGTTGAATTGCATTTCCTCTCACAATCAGTCCAACCTGTGAGCTCTCTGAGGTTCAGAGTGAGCTCTGTATCTTGCGCAGTGTCTTCAGTACAAAGCGCAAAGTGAAGATTCGGTTACTGTGATATATTTTGATAACCTTTCTTTAAAAGATTTTTCATTGTGATGTGTGCTTAAAAATGATATAAAGCACAACTGCAGCTTAAATAATAACAAAATGAGTACCTAGAATCCACCATTGCATGTATCATTGCAGCTTGAGTATTGCTTGGTCCCAAACCACTTGTAACTAGAAGTGTTTTGGATTTTGGGTTTTTTTCAGATTTTGGAATGTGTGTGTATATATATATGAGGGGGGTAGATCTTGGGAATGAAAAATTGCAGAATTCATGCAGAGAACACAGAACTTATGCACTTCTTATGTTTCATACACTTCTTATGCACATATCTTTTTTTTTCCTCATTAAATTTATTGGTACATTTTAGGTATACAGTACAGTTACATTCATCATTGGGATCCTGTACCTCTACATGACAGGTCTTGATTCTCATTTTTTCCCCTTGTCCCTGCCCTCCCTTCACCCCTCCTCTCCCCGCTTTGCAAACACTTCATTTCCATTTTTTTATTTTCTCATATTTTCCCCTTATTAGCTTTCTCTTACCCTTCCCACTTTCCCTACACCATTAACCCTTTTCTTCCTATTTCACATTGTCAATTATATCATTAGGATCTTGTGTACTATTATAGTTTATTCACACCAGAGAACTATTTGGTATTTACACGTGTGCCTTATTTATTTCACTTAGGAGTATATCCTCAATATGTATCCATTTTCCTATGAACGAATCTAATTTCTCATTCTGTATGGCTCCATTTTATAGAAAAACCACATCTTCTTTATCCAGTTTCCAACAGATGGGCAATGGGCTGTTTCCAAGTTTTAGCTATTACAAACTGTGCCGCTGTGAACATAGGTGCACATATATCTCTGTGGTACGATTCCTTTAATTCTTTTGGAAAGATACCCAGCGGAGGGGTGGCTGGGTCAAATGGAACCTCCAGTCCCAGCTCTTTAAGGTATCTCCATATTGATTTCCATAGTGGTTGCAGCAGTCTGCACTCTATACACATATCTTGAATGTAATTTTACACAATACTAGCCTGAGTGTTGCTACAACATCACGTGAGGTCAAGAATGGAATCTCCTTGTGGTATCACAGCAATACTCAAAAAGTGTGGGATTTTGGATTTTGATTTCTTGGGGCCAGAGATGCCCAGCTCATGTCGCCTTAGAAGCAGTGCTGCCTTGCTATGTTCTTACTTGATTTTATCCAATTTCCTACTCATCCCCCAGGGAAGGCCAATGGAATTTTGTGTCTATCATTTCCATTGTTGTTTTGCTTCCAGGGCTATACCCTAGCAGCAATTTGTTCAGTTTGCCTGTTTTTGAGCGTGTATCAGTAGAATTATACGATACATATTCTCCATCCTGTCTTTCAACAGTGCCCTTGAGCCCGAGTTCCACAATGTATATAATAGTAGTCCTTTCCCTGTGACTCCTTTATAATATCTGTGGAAAGGCTATACCCACATACATTGGCCCATTTTGGACTGGTGGACACCCTGTATCATTTCTTTTTAGATGTAACTTTATATAAATTTGAAGGAGTGATTAAAGTTTTGTTTTAATAATATTTTTCCCCTGATAACTCATGTGGTTTTGATCTATGAATGCCTCTGTGAGCCTCTGGGACCTCAGGGGGAAAAAATCAAAAGGACTTTTTATGAGCAATAATATTAATGACTACGAGAACATAACATTAATTTCTCACACTGTAGTAGCAATGCCTGGATTTAAGAGGAGAGAAATATGTTCATTATGTAGACTGCCATCTAAAGACATAATATAATTCTTGTGGAGAATTAGCTGCCCTATTTAAATCTAATATTTAACTCCCTAGATGTCACATGGTCATTGGGAATTAAATTGCCACTTGATTTACTTTATACTGTAACCAGACCCAGGGAAGTATTTAACACATTTTTGCATTTGATTTACACATTTTTCCTTTTAATATTCTAAGCAGTGGAAAAAGTTAGTGGAGAAAAGTTTTTTTTTTTTTTTTTTTAAAGTAATAGTTAATTCCATCATCTTTAAAACTATAATTAATGTGGTTAGTTTTCTGGCCGTTTGCTTTTTGTTTGTTTGTTTGTTTTGCTTTGCTGTGGCTTGGGTTACAGATTACTAGAATGGTGTCCTTTTGCCAATGCATTTCCTCTAAACAAAATACATTTCTTCTTTTATAAGACTGGCAGCCATTGGAGCACAAGTAACCATTTTCTATTTGTATTTGTATTTCTGACAAGTCTTCGGTGGGCTTTTACATAACACAGTTGGTTCTACATAAATATTTCTGCAAACATAGTTTCAATAATGATAAGCCCAGATGGAAGCTGTCATTATATGATCTCATTGAATTGACAGTAACCCCACTGGGTGTGGAGATAGAGCAATCCACTTCTCTGAGATGAGGAATGGGGAGTCTGAAGCTTCCACATCACTGAGCTAAGAATTTCTTCCCATTCCTCTCCAGGAGAGCAGCAAGGTTTATCTCACCCTGCCCATTTCTTGTCTTGCTCGAGCATCACAGGAAGTCCCGCCTCACCCAACCTTTCACCCCAAGAGTGCTCTCACAGGCCCCATCAATATCCGCCCATGCTGCTTGTGCAAACCTTCCCATGGCACCCTCTTGGCTCACTGCCTGCA